CAGTCACAATGTCACGCAAGAGGGTCACTAAAATGGTCATCACTGTTGCTGTTATCTATGCAATTTGTTGGCTTCCAAACCTCATAGTTTTTAACATTCATAAATACTTTGATGATTTTCCCATTCTTGATCTCCTTTACATGCTTTCGCATCTGTTCTTGCTCCTAAACTCGAGCGTAAATCCCTTTGTTTACACGATCCAAAGTCGACGCTTCAGAAAAGCTATGATGGGAAGCCTGTGTTTCTGGAAACAGAAGCAGCTGGTGATGAGCGAGACACCAGAAACAAAGCGGTCAAAGTCTTTTACTGCAAATATTAGAAATAACGCTCAACCCTCTAATATTTACCGAATAGGGATAAAAGAAAGTGCAATAGAAATGACTAATGTTCCTGTCAAAGATGAAGTGTGTTAACACAGTCGTTCCTGTCGTAACCAAACCCAACGTCAACTTTATCGATCCCCGAGACAACTACTTCAGGGCTGATCAAAGTGGGGGCACGGTTAACTCATAGATTGAGTTAAAATGTCGCGTGTTAGGTTTTGCGGAGAGAGAACAACCGGAAAACTTAGAGAAAAGCATTCGCATCAAGAGAGAGACCTAACAAACTCTACTCACGTGATGCCAACCTGAGACGTATGTGGAGGTGATTAGAGGCGCATGACATGATGCGGCTGTAGAGTTCAGAGCCCTCGCTCTTAGTACAGTCACGCCATTTCTAAACAAAAAGCAATTCAATTCCAAGACCAATGACGTTGGGCAGCTCTGAAGTAGCCACATGCAATTACCTAATTATAATAACCTATTAGACAAAGATGATAAAACTTTAATAACGACTTTAAATACAATGTTTTTTCCCTTGATTACTGGTTTTAGCTGTAAAATAGCATAAATTATATCTAACAAAGTTCCTACAGCTGTCCTTTTCTTGAAATTAGGCCTGTAATATATACTTAAATCAATAACTGTAATGTTAGAAATAAGTATTTATATATGAAATGAGGCTCCACAATTATCCAAGTAGAGCTGTTGTCAACATCCTGTCTCTTAATCCAAGTACAGCTGTTGTTAACATCCTGTCTCGTGATGTTGTCGTACGTCTATCAACCAATCAAATATCAGCTTCAAATCAACCAATTAAATATCAGCCTCAACAAACCAATCAAATATCAGCTTACGATTCATTTTAGAAACCGCATAATTAATGAAGAGTCGTCATTGGCTAACTGTGGGAAAGGCGTGTGTTGACCTATCATTGGTTATGATTGGCTAATAAAAGAAAAGTAATGTGATTGGTTGATCTATGATAGCAATGTGGTGGCCAATCACATTGCATGGTTGATAAGCAAGCTCCACAGTAACGGCTAAAAAGGCAAGTGCAAATAAATGTTTATTTGTAGACGTTTTCTATCGAAGAATYGCAAGCTTCAAGAGCATCATACAGACAGCAAGGACTTCTTACTCTGAATTTCAAACTGTAAATCGTTTGGTGTTTCTCTCTAGCTTGATTTTCCAGAGAAAAACAAAGCTCAGGTACGCTAATTAATATAAAAATTAAAATGCTCTTTTTTTGTTTTGCTATTTGATATTTATGAAAGTTGATACACCAAATACCCTCTCGTCAGATTTTTCTTTGAACTTTTTCATGATGAAACTTCATCATACTTACGCCTGTAGAGGAGGTAAAATGAGACTCTGCTCGCAGGATACATCATACTTGAACTTGCATAAGAAATAAGATGGACTTCAAGGATTCTTAGATAAACTTAGTTTAGCTGTCATTTAACAACCAAGTGGGCTATATTTGTACGTAAAATGCTCTTTCGTATACAGGATAGTAAGTCGTGAAGAAGCAACAAATTTCTAAAGAAAAATTTCTAATTTTCGGCCAGCTTCATCAAATAGATTAATTCCGGTTTATTGGATGTGATGAATATTTGTCATTTCGTGTAGAAAAGTGACACCTAGTTAAATAGGATAAATAATTTATTAGAGTAAAGCTCATGAAAGGCGCACGCTTTTGATACGAACGGCCCTACATTTCAATATCTTAATTTCCCACACAATCTATTAAGTACATGAATCTGTTTATCGGTAAAAAGGATATTGATACCTACTAGGCTAATTACGAGACCAGAGGAAACTCACAAAACCTATAATGAGTTTCGGCGTGTGATCACAATGATTTACAATAACGGAAGAACCGCTGCTTTTCCATACGCTTTTCTCGTTTATGGAGGCTCTGGGTAGTTTTGGTCTGGCACACCTAGCCGCATTGAAACGGCTACAACTTCGTCTTGAATAAATCGATCTGCATGCGCTTTTCACATAATGTCAGGAAAGGATTAAAGGTTTCAAAAATGATAAATTAGTTTAAAGCGGCTTTTTCATTATGACGTAATGATGACATCATAGAAATCGTTTACCGCTTATTTTCTCGAAAACTAGACCTAAACTTTCAAAGCGACTTGCGCCAGTCGATAGTATTCATCAAGGCACCCAACATATTGCAATATGAAAAAAATGTATGAGAGCGTTTTCCAAATATTACGCGATGAATATTTTCATGGACATTATTCCAGCGAGTCAACTTTACGGTTCTACGGTTTTTACTCACGAGTTGTGAAGTATCATAAAACCAACGAGCGAGTCTTCGAGCGAGTAATTGGACGTATCTTTTTTTTCACACGTGAAAAAGCGAAACGCGCTTTGTGATTGATCGGGAACAGGGAACGAATTACAATATATTATATTGAGTAAATCTCGGTATGTATATGATAAAAATGAATGTATTATAATGTTAAATTGCGCAAAACAAATAATAAACTATTACTATATTTTTATACTATGATATAATGTTGAGATTTATAGCAGCTATGTTTTGAACCCGATATTTAATGCAATCGAGTATAATACACTCGTCACATAATGTGGGAGCATCTGTGTCAATAGATCCTAGGTTATTTGTGTTTAATCTCTTTCTTTTTTCTTGTAATTTGACTCTTTTCCCCATCAAGGTGGTGATGTAAGAAGAGTCTGCTCATCAATCATTTGACACATGTCCATCTCGTCAAGTAGGATGAAATAATCGCTCGACTTCAGTTTCACTTCATATCAGCTTCTTTTTTTGAACCGACTCTGACAGTGACAACACAAAAATATTACAAAGGACTAAAAGTTTAATTGGAGTAAACCTTTTGGGATCAGGAAAGTAATGGCTGTGTCCGAAGAAGATGCTGTTATTTGCCGCATATTCTTTGCTGTTCTTTCTACCATCAACATCATTGGAAACACACTTGTTATCCTCTCTGTTCTTCGCAATCGATCCATGCAGACCAATATGAACTACTTGCTGGTGAATCTTGCGATTGCAGACACTCTCGTTGGGATCTTTCTTCTTCCACGATATGTTTTTA